AGTTACATTAAAGTTTAAAGTTATAAACAAGGTCACCAATACTAGGTATAACTGCTGTCTTTCTTTTAAAGATGGTGGTAAAAGGCAGGTAATTTCCTTTAGGAAATCAATTATCTGAAAGAAAAGATGCCTCTAACCAAGACATAAATATACTAAGAAGCATCTCAGAGTCTGAATTAAGCAGACAGGGAAGATTCATATGTCTCATTAAGAGAAACATCACAGAAATAAGCACCAGACAGCCATAAAAGACAAACTGTTAAATTGTCTCTCCCGGTGTGGGGCTCTGTATGCATTTACTACTATTCATGTTTTATAACTGCTTGAGTTAATGGATAGATCAATTATCTATTTGTGGGCACAGGGACAGATCCTTACAGGTTTCATCTGCCTAGATTCGTTTGCTGAAGTGACACTAAACTCACTTGCACAAGCTGGAAACCTCATTACCACAAAAATTCAAAAAGACAATTCAGAATACAGCAATTTGGTAGTTTTGGGATGCAAATATACATTTAGGCTGGTATTCCTCTATTTAAGTATCGTTTATTTTCATTTTTGAGGTATGCTGAAAGACAGTGTCCAGAATCAGACTGCGGATGTTAATCATCACCAAAATGCCAACGGGCTCACTGCCGCTTTCTTCTCTGAACATCAGTGACAAATGTTTAAAATCACACTGAATAACACACACAACAGGAATAGGCAAAAGATGCCAGTTGGGTTCACAGAGCAGTACATCGTCCATCTCACCAGTTAAGCACCACAGCCCAGGTGGAAAACAGGCAATAAAACAGCTCAGTACCTCTGACAGCCATCTCTGACATGCTGCTTTCCCTGAGGATGTCATGGAAACTTGCAGAGAGCAGCCAAATTTGGGGTTGTTGATCTATTTTCTTCCACTAGCCTGCATGTGGATTAAATCCCAGAAGCACACTGTAAAAAGCCAAACAGACTAGAGAAATGTTTGAAATCCAGCACTCCTGAGAGAGCTGCCCAATTACTTGATAATATTGTACCTCCTGCAACATACCAAGATTTTAACGGTGCCTGTAAATATTTTGGTGTCTTGGATATGGTTTTAGTTCCCTAACAACACATGAGGATTTCTTGAAACAGATATTAGCATCTGTGCTAAACTGTGGCATTGTCAGCCTAATAATAAGTTGAATTCAGAAGGGCTCAATTCTGTTTCCAGAAAGGAGTTGTTGTGATCTAAGATTTTATACAGTTAGCTGATGAACTAATGACTCAGAACCATCCCTTTTAGAATCGAGGAGAAAAAACGAAGACAAACCTAGGAGTGAGTACAGATTACATTTACACAACCTGCTGACCCACAAGGCCATGCAGGTGAGTAGCTGATGTCCCGTTCACGTTCAGTCGAGCCCAAAGCCTGAGCAGGAAGGTCTGCCCCTCCACTCCATTTCTAGAAGTCAAACTCCAAAACAAGAGCGGGACACTCTTATCTCTCAGCAGAAGCTGGAGACCAACAGCAGGGACACTTTGTCTGTGCTGTTTCTGGGGGATGGCATCGAACACCCCTTCACAGCTCAGAGACACGTTTGGCAGGGGGAGGGAGAAGGTGAAAGCAAGCCCCTGCATGAGGGTCTGCCTGAGAAGTAGCCGCTGTGAGTTGGAGATCCTTCACCTCCTCTCCCAAATCACTCACCCTGGATTCCCACAGCATCACAGGCCTAGGAATGTCACCCCTGGCCCCAAGGCTTGTTGGAAGATTTCAAGATGTTCTAGTCAAAAATTTTCATTTCAACAAGAAGCAAGTTCAAGTGCAAATCCAGACTGTGATACAGGCTTTGTGGAAAATGTTAATACAGGTGTGCTTTTAAAACCTAACCAGCTCTTTAAAAGACCTGGATTGAAAAATAAAAGCTCCTAAAACATTCTGTTTGAAAGCAAGTGTAATAAGGAGAATAAGTTTTCTGCCACACAGAAATCTTGTAGCCTTCTCTTCCTTTCATCTATTCCTTATTACCTTGCTTGTTGTTCTATTAGACAGCTCATAGTCACACAGATGTGGCGCTGTCGTGGTTTAACCCCAGCTGGCAACTAAGCACCACACAGCCGCTAACTTACTCCTCTGCAGTGGGATGGGGAAGAGAATCAGAATAAAAATGAGAAAACTTGTGGGTTGAGATAAGAACAGTTTAATAATTTCAATAAAATAAATTTAATAATAATACTAATAATAAAAATTGTAATGGAAAGGAAAACAACAAGAGAGAGAGGAACAGAACCCAGGAAAAACAAGTGATGCAACACCTCACCACCCACCCACAGACACCCAGCCAGTTCCCGAGTAGCAATCGCTGCCCCCCAGCCAACTCACCCCAGCTTATATACTGACCATGACATGATATGGTATGGAATAGCCCTTTTGCCAGTTTGGGTCAGCTGTCCTGGCTATGCTCCCTCCCAGTTTCTTGTGCACCTCTTCGCTGACAGAGTATGGGAAGCTGAAGAGTCCTTGACTTAGTATGAACACTGCTTAGCAACAACTAAAACATCATGGTGTTATTACATTATTCTCATACTAAATCCAAAACACAGCACTATACCAGCTACTAGGAAGACAATCAACTCTATCCCAGTCATAGCCAGGACAGGCACTAATTACAGGGTAGGAGCTGCCATCTGCCTGGGAGGATAAAGCTACTCTGACATTATCCCATCAGGCACCCAACAGTGCCTTAGGAGATACAGCCATTTAGCTGACTGCCCTGTAAAGAAACAGGTGCCATCTGAGCATGCTGGGAAATCCTTTCTAATGCAGTCAGCTCCCCTTCAGTGGTTCATGGTTTAAAGTACAAAAAAAAACCCAACGTCTATCATTTTGCACACTGAGGTTAGGCACAAAAAGCTGAGACTTTCAGTAGGAATCTTGCTTTCTGAAGATAAATATGGTTTAGTATGTTACCCTGGTAAAAAATATTTCTGTATTGAAAACTAAAGGTGTTTGGGGGGCATCAATTGCACTTTAGATTTCAGACTTGATTTTAGTCTAAGATCTACACTTGAAGATACTTCTACCCCAAAGCCTGGGTACAGGTAAAGAAGCATGAAAATTCTTCCCTTGAAAACATTCCCAATTTTGGAGGAAGCCTGAGGGGTAAACCCTTGACCAACCAAAAAACCCAGTCACTGGTAGGCTTTTGAAAACTTCAGACTGAGATTCAGGTATGCTGTATAGCCAAAATTACCCCAGATTTCTAGTGTTTTGTTGTTGTTGTTGCTGTTGCTGCTATTGTTTTGGCTTGAAGAACTCATCTGGCTGCTCTCGTGCCTTCTTTTGCTCTTACAGAATATCAGTGGCACAAAGTTATTTTGATATCCAATGCATGAATATTGGCACTGCATCCACCTAGTAGGGTGATAAAGATATCCAAGCACTGAGTGATAAATGATGGTTTTCCACAGGAAAACACACGTAAGAGAATGACATGAATCAAGGCAGGGGAGGCAGAACAGGGGTATGCAACAGGAAGCAAATACACTGAGGACGCCACAAAGTTCCTCTGGTGCCATGTACAATCAAGGTGTTAGCCATGCCATACAGCATGCCCGGTGCCCATCCTAGAGCTGTAAGACACAAAAGGGATCCCAGAGAAGCTACCCTGCCTTATCCTCTCATCCCTTTTGACCCATGGGCATGACAGAGAACAACGAGCCGCACTAAAGCCAGTCACAAGAAACCTGTCTCCTAACCTTCATGCCACACCAGGCAAAAAAGGTGACCTGCACCCTCACCCCTGGTGCCAATGCTGAACTTGCTGGTGTGCTGAAGGGGACATTGTTGGCTTTGTCTGGGTACCATGGCTCCACAGCGGCACGCCCAACCCCACTGCCCTAATCCCCACTCCCCATGCCTGGGTCAGAAAACACATCTTCCTCCTCCACCATCACCACCCCACACTCCTCCTCTCACTGCCTACCATTTCCAGCCCAAACTGGACCAAAGCATGACTGCACCAGCTGTGCAGGTGCCAGGAGGACCATAAATCTCCATGCCGCCCAAATAAGCACAGCCCGTGGCTCCGTGCCCCCCCCACTCCCTTCCCCTTTCCTCTCTTCCCTAGCTGATGAGCTCAATGTGGAGGTGGACGTGGCTGGAGCAATGTGAGACACAAGCAGGGAAGAGCAGCCACCAGGTGGTCACCCAGTGCCCAGGCTGGAAGGATGTGGAGATGTCAGGGCAGCAGTGTTTCTCCATGTGCCAAAGCCAAAATTACAGGTGACATTTTAGCAGACTGCATCATGGAAAACTTTGCAGCCAGGGATCATCACCATCTTCAGGATTACATGGAAGCTGAGAAGGAATCAGAAAGATTACCCAAAAGTTACATTTAGGAGCCAAAAGTGACATAAATGCGCATGCAGTCCTATGGTAGTTATCACTGTACGCCAGTCATAACTTCTATTATACTAGAAATATGACCAAATAAGAATCCCACTACATTCAAATGAGCTTGTGTGTCATGATGAATGCTGCATCACTTAGGAAGAGTTGCAGCTTCAAATCCCAGCTCAGGACCTCTACTCGTGGTTTCTTGTGTCTTGCTCGCTGACCCCACAGACCCCTATAATGCCCGTGACAGTGCATGCATGAGTGGCACTCCTGAAGGCATGCAAGAAATTCAAAGAATGAAATCTAAACTTCATCTCCCTCCTGTGATTCTCATCTCGTGCTCAGCTACACCACAAACTTCCTTTACAACCTTAAATATTAACACAGGTGTTCTCTTGACATGGGATTCCTCATTATCATATGAATAAATGATTAATTGTCACTGAACCAAGCAAGTGTAACTTTTATAACGATATGAATCAGCACTGTGCCAAACCCTTGAAGAATAGCAAGAGTGTTCAAGTATTTATTGCACTTTATTGCTTCCTAGATCATTTAAAAGGAGTCACTGACAAACAGCCATTTACACAGGCTTGAAAGCTTGCCTCGGATGTACTGAGTGGTTCTGTATTTCAAAATGCAGACATACCTTCTTTCCCGGCAATTTAACACTAGGTCTTTGGCAGAAAACTCCACAGCTTGTCCAGCAAATGCTACTATTTGCAATGGCACGTCTTGTGTATTACCAACAGATGATTTTAATGAAACTTTGAGCATAATTTTAAGTGCTGTTCTAACAGTCATGCTGGCTTTGGTGATGTTCTCCATGGGTTGCAATGTGGAACTTAAGAAATTCTGGGGCCACATAAAAAGACCCTGGGGTATTTTTGTGGGTTTCCTTTGCCAGTTTGGAATTATGCCTCTCACAGCCTTCTTGCTGTCCCTGGTTTTTAACGTGCTTCCTATTCAAGCTGTCGTGGTGCTGATCATCGGATGTTGTCCAGGGGGCACAGCCTCCAATATCATCGCCTACTGGGTGGATGGAGACATGGACCTAAGGTAAGAGCAGCCATTCTCTAAGTAGATCATGTAGCTTTTTACATTGTAAACTTTATATTGAAAAAGACTGATTTTCTTCTTAGCTTCCTGGCCCATGCATGGTGGAGCTTTCTTCTTGTAAAGATGTTTAGCTACTGTAATAGTGGTAAATATAGGCAGAATAACAAATATCCTTGGTTCATTAAAAATTCATGAGGAAGAGAGCACAACAGAACTGTGTATATTAGAAAATGTCTTTATTGTAAATCTTCAGATCCTGCAGAAGAGACCACTAAGATGCTAAGGATTAGTATCCTTTTCCAAGTTATAGAAGTACTTTTGTAATTTTGTTTCTCCCAAGATCTTGGGCAGTAAAAAAACCAAATGATTTTAAGATCTGAATCCTCTGTACAAAATAGTGGCTGTGCAATAGTTCTTGAAGCAATGTTTCTTGAAAAAAACCACCCGTGGAAAAGTATTTTCCCTCCTTTTGTGTTCTATGCAATGAATAGACAGGCACAGATTTTCTCTTTGGGAACTAATACAAATGAAAATCACTTGCGGTAATTCTATCTGCTCCTGGCACCTTCTGCAAAGTCTTCAAACTGAGAGAAAGTTTTACAGGCTAGAAGCCACTGACTAAGGCAGCTCTGTATATTGGGGGCAATGAAAAAACTCCTTTGTGCCCAAGTGTGATAGTCTCAGTGACAGGGTACTCTGGACTCAGAAATGGATATGTAAGGCACCTGGCATGGCCTAGGACATCAAACATGCAGGAGCAGTGAACCCTACTCTCGATGCAAATTCCATGGGGGGGTTCATTAACTCTAACAGCCTTTAAAAATGAGCCATCTTTTTATTTTTATATCCTGATTACTTTGCTCTAAAACGAACAGTATCGTTTCTCTCTTTCCCACAGAGTAACATAAATTGAAGCATTCATCCAATTTATCATATGCCAGTCTGAACTAGAAATGGAAAAAATAATAGAAGAAAGAAAGATGTGGAGATAGGGCAAATAGACTAAGAATGTTAATATTCGTAGCTTTAATAAGACATTTTTTCCATCCTTTGAAAATAGTGAACTTTTCTGTCACATACAGGTGTTAACGTAATACCAGCTTTCGAATTATGTATGAGGTCAGCTCTGCTAATCACCAACTTCCTCACTGTGAAGGAAAGACCTATGATACTAGGAACTCTAAGACATTTAATTTCAATAAATACGGGTCTAAGAAACCACAGATGGAAAGATATCCATCACAAATCTGAAATTCTGTCCTAATCTTTCCTTGGAAGAATACACTAAGCTAAACTGCTTTCTCAGCTCCGTATGTTCAGTCGTGCCACTGAAATCAAGGGTAAAAATCTGAATTGATGGTGCTATAAATATGAGCTGGGTTTATATCCCATGATGCTGGAAAAGGGTGAAGTAAATCGAAAATACCTGTAAAAGGTTATTCTTCAGGTAAAGACCTTTACCTTAAGAGGTCAAAGGCTTTGGGTCAGTAACTTTGTGACAATAATGCAGGGACCAGAGGATATGGGGGGTAGAGCAGAGATGGCAATGCAAGCATCTTCAGTTCTTGATAGAAGAATAACAGTATAAGTAGCTTGGCTGATTTCTGGGAGCCAGCACAGTATTATAGAAAGCCTGCCCATCATATCAGAAAGTTTTTGGTTTTAACTGATAGTATTTTATGTTTACACATAACAACCCATCATCATTGTCTACAGTCCTGCTTCAAAACATCCCAGTGCAAATAGACCACAAGTTGAGCAGGAATTAATTTTCTACTGCTCGTATAATCACAAGGAGGTGAAGTATGAGGTTTTATACCTTTCTTAGTAACTCAGACCCAAGTGATATCCTCTAAAGCTCCCCATAGGGACATCTGGTTTTGACATCTCTTGATAGTTCACAAGAACAACTGCTTCCAAAGCACCATCTCCTCTCCTCCACAGCTCCCCCCTGGGAGCTTCTGCAAGCACAGGGAGTGGGGCTAGAGAACATGCAGATTTTCGAGCAGGATGTAGATACAGGGACAGTACGTAGATGTAGGAAATATGGAGGTAGGAAAAATAAGCTCCTTGGGGTTTACCTGACCTTAATTGTAGCCCATGCCTCTTTTTTCTCTGTGTGTAGAAACTCCCTTGCCAGAGGCTCCTACAAAGTTCTATTCAATTACTCTGAAGCAGAGAGTGACAGAAACCAAAATTAATGCAGATATTGCTGTGGTTTCTGTATTAATTGTTCTATATTTCTCTGGATCTGCCCACTTTGTGGGATGGGGTCAGTAGTCCCATTTCTGAGGGCAACACAAAAAAGAAATCAGAAGTGAGGCTCAAAAGGAAGTTTCCAAAGTCCTTTAACTAGAAGCCTCTCTCATTATTTTTATGTCAGAGGAGTGCGATCGGTAGGCATAATTTCATCTATTCTACTCAGATTCTGAGAATTTCCTCCCTATTTTAGCTGTCTTGCATTTTCCTCCTTCTTCATTCCTGTAGCAGAACTCATCCTTTACTACAAGGTGTATCAGGCCTGACAGTTTCAAGACTTTATATTTTAAAACAGAATTATCTTTGCACAAACCAGGGAAGCAACAATACTTATGCTCAGCTTCACTGAGTAATTCTTAGCACCTACTCCTTGGCCTAGAGCATAACAAGCCAGAAAAGGGAATTTTATTAAGTCGCACATGCTAGACGATGAAATATTTTTGGTTTATCCCGTTGACTTTGGAGTGAAATTTTAACACTCTAGAACTGCTGGTATAATGGAAAGCCCCATCTGATGTCCATCTGACCCTGTCCAGCTCGCCACCCTCTCCGAAGCCAGCCGGACAGGCAGCATGCAGACAGACTTGCCAACAGACCTTCGTGATGGCTGCCTGGCTGACTGCCTCATTTGCACTGAAAGTTATTGTTCTCTGCCTGCAAAATACATTGATATTTTATGTTCCTTTCTTTTCAGCAGAAGCCATTCCTTCCATTTAGCTTTTTTCTAACCTGATATACAGGATAAACTGACTGTAGCCAGCAGCATTTCTTGCCCAACCTTTCATAAGCTCTGAAGTCATAATAAGAAAATGAGAAAGACTATAGGCTAGCATGAGATGAACTGTCACTCTAACCAATTTCTTTGCAGCATCAGCATGACAACTTGCTCCACACTGCTTGCAATGGGAATGATGCCACTTTCTCTTTTTGTTTACACCAAGATGTGGACTGATTCTAACGCAATTGTTCTCCCCTACGACAGCATCGGTGAGTCCAGTGAACCAGCACTTTCCCTTCTGACTGCCTCCTTTATCTGCCCTCCAGTAACAACCACCTTTATATCATCATCCTGAAGATGATAAAGAAATGACCCCAAACTTTTAAAAATATTCATCCTCCTAGTTTCCAATAACTTCCATGGGAATTAGGTACCTAGATCACTTCATGTCATCCACAGATCTGCAGAACAAAGGCTTGAAGTCATTATAAATATTGTACAGATATTTATCATGAGATTGTGCGTGTTTCTCTTTCCAAATGGTTTGGAGACCTGCGTGGTACTGAGATAAGAATATAAAATAATTTGTACAGGAATAGCTGCTTCCCCTGGATGAAAGTGTTTGTAACAGCTTTAAGGCACAATCCTGCAAAGTGCTAAGTGCTGAGGCCATAATCTGGCAAAGTACTTAAGCACATGTGGATAGTTAAGCAAGTGATTAAAACTGCTGAGTCTCTTTGAAAAGCTGCAATCTACACTGCCAGAAGTGGCTTCATTTGACTTCCTGTCAAAAATCTCATCCAGCTACAAAGAGAAAATAGTCAAAGTATTTAGAAATACATGTTCCAGTGCTTTGCAAAGCTGTGGCCCTAGTGCTTATCAAGTGCAGTTCCATGTTGTGCTAATCTTTAAAGCCAGCAGAGTCATTTTCATATTCTTCAATTTCATTTCCTATTGTCCTGGGGGAAAAGAAATCACATACATTGCTTGTGCTTTCAAAATAAATACTGGAGGGAGGAGGCCAAAACAAAAGAAGCTCTAAACAGGTTGTTGATATGGTACAATAGCGAAACACCTGCAGACAAAATGAGCATTTAATACAGCTACTCACATCACAGGATAGTGATGATTAGCACACTCAAATTTCTGTCTGCCTTTCGGATTCAGGTGAATGAGCATGTGGCTCAGCAGAATGGCAATTACTTCAACAGGCTGCCAAAGATAACAGACTCTATAGAAAAGCAAATAGGCAGGTGTGGGTAGAGCGTGCATGCATGCTCTGGGGTGCACGTACCAGAAACATCCTCCAAAGCCTTGCTCCATACCCCCAGCCACTCTACATGGTGTCTGTCCTCCTGTCGTGAACTTTTGCATGATACGTGGGCTTAACTTCTCTCTTCTTTTTTACAGGAATTTCACTGGTATCTCTTGTAATTCCTGTTTCATTTGGAGTATATGTTAACCACAGATGGCCTAGTAAAGCAAAAATCATACTTAAGGTAGGATATATAAGGCTGAAGCATTATTAATTATGGAAAAATTACAGAATCAGTGGCACCACTGAAGCGGTACATTGCTATTCATAGTATTAGTATCTGACTTCATAAGAGCCGGGAAGTTTTCAGCGGAAAACAAATGAGACACTGTGGAAATGTATTGCCTTTCCCCTGCACAAACATGCATGAGTTGCATATGTTATTAGAAACCATCATTATTCAAAGAGCCTACTTTTGTCTTTGGCTACAGCTATGTTAGTAATTGAGTTCAGTTTGTAATGTAAACTGAAATTGGAAGGAAAATCATTCAGGTCAACTGGAAGGAGTTTTTCTCTGCAAAATAATAAAAAATGAAAACATTCTGGGTCAAAAAAACCCTTTCTACTTTTAAACCAGTTTATTGATTTTTGGGGGCATTTTGAGTGTGAAGTCAATTTTTATTTAAAAAAATTTTGAAAATGTTCCACCTGTTAAAAAAAATGAACAAAACTATTCACAAAATTCGGCTGCTTTTGGAAGATAGTTTCAGATGCATCAAAAATATGGGGTTTTTGGCAAAAAATATTCTCACCAAAATAATAATAATAATAATAACTTAGCTGCATTTAGTGTTAACAGCAAATTAATGATTCTGAACATTAGGTTTGGATTTAAAGTGACTGTCAGATGTGCTGAGTACCCTTGGCCCTTGTTAACCATTCTTAATTAACAGATATGTTTTCTAAATTTTCTTAAAGACAACTAATCTGGCAACTTGTTATTCTACCTATATTTTGTTATCATTCCTCTGCTATCAGCTCAAGAAGTACAGAACACAAATAAGGTCCTTTTAAGTGAATTCATTTTCTTAAACTGTTAACTTATGATGTTGTATTTTTAAATATACTCACAGCTTACTTATGAACTTGGATACTACTGAGTGCTGGTTTCAAAACTGTACTACTCCTGTTTAATCAGTTAAGGGGAAAGCCTGGACTTGAACTCACATGAAAATTAACTCTGCTTGCTCTCTCAGCAAAACACAGTTTCATCCTCTTTCTTACCGAGTGGGTGAGCAACCCACAGTAGGGTCCATTGACAGTTTGCTTGACGTAGGACAATGAAGCATCAAGGGAAGATTGAGCTGTAGCTGTCAGACTAAGGTCCATATCGTGAGAAATGGAGATAAGAGCACAAAGACTGTGTGCCAGGTGAAATAGAAGAGCTTGTCATGGCCAGACCATGTTTCTTCTTCCTAGGTGCATGTGGTTAATAGTTCAGTCAAACAAAAGTACTTGCTCACTCAGTGCTCTTAAAAAGGCTTCAGCCAAAGACTGATGAAGTCAGTTCAATGGGAATACATGTTTTACCTGAGAATGGATTCTCCTAAGCTTAGCCCCAAAAGTCTGCCAGTGAGATCCCTGGCAACATATGCCGTAAGGGCAGACGTTTCACTTGGATATTGAGAAGAGAGTGAGTTATCACCTTTTTTGGCAAGCAGCAGTGAAGATCTCAGTACATTCAGCCATAGGAAATAAGATCAACTCAGTCTATGTAGAAATGCTATATGAGCTCACAGCCAGTTTTCAAACACAAATTTTCAGCCACATTAAAGATTTACTCCTCCGCTTGACAAATAATTTCCTGTCACTAACAATCTAGCATCTAGTTAGCATACGCTATACTAAGCCCCAGAGTGTGACTGCCCAAGAAGTGGGGCATTATGTTACCTATTTGGGTTATGTTATAGGTATACATATATATACCTATATATATATAATTATGTTACCTATTAGGTTGTAAGTTTTCCAGCAACTCTGGGGAAATTTTTCTAATGTGTGCACCATTCCTCGCTCATGTCACACCTGTAAAAATTTTTTTAATCTCCAGTTCTAAGTACAATTATAGCCAAGGCTTCAAGAGATTACCTTTACAGGTATCTGCTATAGATACCTATTATAGCTGTGCCTTGATCTATATCTGTAGTCACACACTGAAGTACATCATACATCTCCTGTTTGGGAAAATGGCAGCTATCTAATCTGTCTGCCTGCTGTGAATTACATTGCCATAAACTTCAGGTTTTATGTTTAATAAGGTGTTTCAGTGACTCAGAGACATTCACAGACGTGTTTGACACTATGTTTGATGCCATTAAATTTCGTTGGGGTCTCTTATTCACACAGTCCTTCCTCTTTCCCCTCACAGATCGGTTCCATTGTGGGAGCGATCCTCATCGTGCTCACTGCTGTGGTTGGAGGAATACTCTACAAAGGCTCCTGGGTTATCTCACCCAAATTATGGATCATTGGCACCATATTTCCAGCAGCTGGCTATTCTCTGGGTTTCCTTCTGGCCCGCATAGCTGGTCTGTCTTGGCACAGGTATGAAATTCTCCATGACAAAGACCTGTAGCCTTTTTTCAGCTATGAAAAAAGGTTCTATTTAATGATTAATCATTAAGAGAGAACACTCCATAAACATTAACTGGGCTACAGAGTCACTCATTCCCCTACCCTGTTTCTGGGATACTAAGTGTAGGTAAAACTTTTCTGGTGCACATTTTTATTTACAGATTCTGACTCTACTATGTCCTCCAATCTCACACATCTTCCCCTTGTGAGCCCATGTCCTACACTTCAAATGAGTAAAACAGACCTGACTTAGAAGTGGGTGGGGACTGCAGTAAAATTTCTCATGAAGATGCAGCAGCCTACAATTTAGAACATCATTACAAGAGAGGGAGATAGTGAGTGCCGCATACATGGCTTGAAGGTGGACCATAGTCCTTTACAATTGCTGAACTGCCATAAATTCTGTGTGTTCCGGTGGTAACAGCCATATGACTTGTGTATTGTCACGTGGGCTGAAGGACACCATTTTCTTAGTTATCCATTACTGTATGTTTCTTGCTTATCCAGATTACTAAAAAGCATAAGGACCCACAGGCTGCTATTTCACAACTGTCTTTGTATTGTTCCCTTTAGATGTCGTACAGTGTCTCTGGAAACAGGCATGCAAAACACTCAGCTATGTTCAACTATAATACAGCTCTCATTCACTCCTGAACAACTTGAACTGATGTTTACTTTCCCACTCGTCTACAGCATTTTCCAGCTGTTGTTTGCACTACTAATTTTAGCAGGTAAAGTATAGATATTTTCTATTATCACATTATAATTATCATTACTATTATCAGTCCTATTTTTCATGGATATGGAGAAAACAAGTAGGGATAAAAATAATCAAATAGAAAATAATTAAGTAAATAATGACCCAAATGATTACTAAGCTTTGCCACCGTGCTGTGCCCTGTACATAACTAGGAATATACAAGGCTCAGTTCAAGATTTGGAAGACCCTTTTTTTCAGCACGAGGGAGGGCATTTCCACCACCTACAACGGGGCACATGAGAATACATTGAGTGGAGGATTGTTATTACCCTTGGCTGAGGAAGAGCAAATGCATCTTCTTCCACCGTGCCAGGGTGCCTGGGCATGCAGCTGCCCAGCAGGGCCTTCCCCACAAGCATGCACAAACTCCCCCTCCTACCAGCTGTTGAGAGAACAGGTATTAGCTTCATGGCTAATGTGGGAAAATGTCTTCCATTAGAGGTAAAGGTCCCTTTTTCCTCCTACATACACCTCTCATGAGTGGCACTGCTGCTATTACAACTAACCTACCGAGGGTTGGGACCTTGTCCCTGTTGCTCACACCTAAAACCATCTGTGACTATTGAGCTCCCACTCCCAAACCAGCTGTCTTACTTGACACTAGAGCACTGCCCCAGGGACACAGCCTGCAAGGCGCAGCCCCGACTCCAACCTCTCTGGCAGGCAACGGCGTGGGGACAGACGAACTATTTTGTCCCAGCTCCTGCCAAACAGGACCCATGTAGAAGTCAGGGTCAGTCCCACAGACCCAGCCAAGAGCCCAAAGACTTTCCACAGGAGACAGACAATACTTTTAAAAGTTACTGCACGCAAAAGGAACACAAAGCAGTCAAACACCAAATGCAGAATTTAAAAATTTTTCCTTGTTATTTTCTAAATGTACTTTTCCAGTGATGAGTGCTGTTGACATAAAATAATTAAACATAGCTTTAAAGAAACTGTCTGGAGGTGTTGGAATGTTTTAGCAATATAAGGAAGGAAAATGTTGCATGGCTACATGTTACTACAGTGTCTTTTTCAGGCAATTGTTATAATTTCTTTATTTAATACTAAATATATATCAATTCCCAGGCTACCGTGTTTACAGAAGACACAGGGTCAAAACAAAGACAGATGTTGAGAAAACAGAGGAAAAAGAGGATTCAAAATCAACGTCATCACATGCTAAAATAAATGGAGGATTTGTATCAAATGAGACCAAATAGACAATTATCTCTGTTCCCACCAGCTGAAAAGACAGAAGATACATGGTTTACTTAAAACTTTTTTTTCACATGCCATTGCTTTATGGAAATACTTAACAAAGGAGAAGTTCTGCTGATATTATACAGTAAGACTTTAAAATGATTAACTTATGAAAGATTTCTACTTTAATTTTGAACACGGTTTCTGCCGCAATTGTAGAATCTGTTTTTTAAGATAATTCCCTAAAAATATTTAATATTTTATTATAGCTTATTTAAAGAAAGGCAGAATAAAGGTGAGCTATTGCTAAAAAAGCCAAGCAAATATTTGTGTTACCAACTCCAGCCCATGATCCTGCAAATCCGTCTGCTAGTCTCAGCCCTCACACCAAACAAAGAGAAATCTTGTAAAAGTGCCCGAGCAGCAACAGGAGTCAATGTTGAAGATCTGATAAGGCTGAAGGACTTTCACTGAACATGAATCAACCATGAAATTGGAACAAGCTAGTAATGAAATAGTTTCATTTAGGTCAGTCTGGGCAGACTAAAGTCTTTGCACTGTACTAATTCCTTGAAGCATTAATTTATTCTGAAGCTATAATTTTAACAAGTGCAAGGTACCTTATGACTATTTTTTTTTGCCTAAAGTACTAGAAAGTAACAGCTTTGCATCTTCAGTCTGGGTCTTTTAGGTGCTGGAAACATGAACAGAGAAAAAAAGCTGAGGGCGTAAGCCTAGAGCAATTTTAGTGTGACAGCTGCATACAAAGAAGCAGGCAGAGATTTTGGAAGTGTAAGAAATTATCAACTTCTGCACTGAAAGGGAGGCATTTGAAAGTAGAACAAAATTGTCCCTGACTCATCCAGGACTACTTTCACCACTATTAACATGAGACAATAGTGCTGGTAGAGGGTTATAAATTGTTGTTATTTTATGAACTCAGTAAATTTGGACTTACCTGGTGTCTGTGATGTGTAGGCACTGATGTAGTTGATAACTTTAAGATTTTAATTATATGAACCACCGACAGAAATAATTGGATGTACACATACATTATTTGTCTCTGAAAATTCAAGAGTACATATAGAAAGCTGTCCTAAGTGTGTAAAGAAAATGAGTATAATTCTAAGAGAAAAAGTGCAGTAAAATTTTTGCAGCTGTACTTTTTTATGGACACATTCAGTAACACTTGTCCTGCAGCTCTTATGTAAAGAAAACATCCAGAGAACTTAAGATGAAATGAGTGAGAGGTTGGCTCACCAAAAAAATTCAACAATGAGCCAACTACCAAGACATGGAAACTATACACTTCTTTGTCATATTCAGGTGGACCTTCCGAGGTGTTGTGAGTTAATGTGACAGGTTTTTTTACAAACACAACTGAAATTGTAGAATTTAAATTCCCAACATGTAGCTTTCCACTGCTGCAGAAATGTGCCCAGTATTAAACAAAGAATAAAGTATTTCTATCTACCATATGTGAGGGAAAGGGTCTCAAAACATTCCTGAGTTCTGGGAGGCTTGAAGCTGCTTCACTTTCAGGGGGAGTTCACAGTGGTCATAACCTCCAAGGAGGAGTTTAACGCTTAGCAGGACTTAGCACATAACAAGTCATGCTATGTTTTACAGAATGAAGATTAAACAAAAAAATGTAGTGAGGTCTGTTATGGAGGAATCATAAATGTGAACCAGCACATTCACCGAGAAAAGGATAAGCTGCTATTTGTAACAACTGTAGTAAAAAGGTTATTATCTTTATCCTGCATCCATCAAAAAATGGACAGGAGAAGTTAGGTAGGATCCTGTCTTTCTTACACACCAAGCTGCTACTCTTTCTGCAGGCTAAACTTCAATTCTTCTGTGCATATTTTAAGCAGATTTTGAAAATGTATTGAAGAATAATAGTTTGTCTTGCTTATACTATGTGTATGTGTGTATTTAAAGCAACTGTATAAACACTGAACTGAATAAAGTCAGAAACTATTTATAATTTTGCCCACTGGAGTAATTTAATGTGGAAAGAATTGAGACGGAAACCTAACATGCAGATGAAGTTTATGGCTTTGAGATGTAACGAAAACACCACAGATTGTGTGTAAAATGAATAAGTTTCATAATCATAGAATAGTTTGGGTTGGAAGGGACCTTTAAAGGTCATCTAGCCCAACCCCCCTGCAATAATCAGGGACATCTACTAGATCAGGTTGCTCAGAGCCCTGTCCAACCTGAGTTTGAATGTTACCAGGGATGGGGAATCTACCACGTCTCTGGGCAACCTGATGAAGATTAAATGAACATGGGATGTCTGATGCCATATTTGATATACATTTTTTAATGTATATCTGCACTTAGGGCCCAAGATGAAGGATGGAGGCTGCAGTTTCTGCAGTCATTACAACTACATCTAGCAAGGGTCGTATGTCCCAAGCTTTACGTGAAGCAAAGCCAGCTCAAAGGTCTTAACAAACATATGCCTCTAGAGCACATCAAACCTAAAACAAAACCCCAGGGCTTGTTAACGTTGCCAGAGGCAGGCTTATGTTGACATGACAGCTGCTGAATCTCCAGCTGTAGAAGTCTCGTAGCATCAATGTCCATCCATCACTGGTGAAGGTGGGGTGAGTTATCTCACAACAGCATAAGGGACCTTTGGGGAAGCTGTGGCCTCTCCCCACAGGTCTTCAGAAAGACATTATGTGCCTTTGGCTGTCAGCCATATAAACATTGAGGTATGGGCTTCTTAATTGAAGGAGGCAGGTGGCCTCCAGCCTTGCAGTTGCAGTTGTCTTGGTATTGTCAAAAGAAAAAGCCCAGCTTGACAAGCTTAGCTGTTTAAACCTGCTCAGTGTCATCTCCTCTCACATTCTCCTGCATGAAAATCCTTTCAAAGAAAGACAATATCACTTAGTCACCACTGTTTTTTAAGCAATCTTCTATCCATTGAAACAACTCATGGATGGGACATTGCAGGATGTGCAATTTAAAAGCATCATGCAGTGATGTTCAGGCTAACAGATACCAGATCTAATTAACTCTTACACATACTTGTAATCATGGATTTACCAGTTCAGGCTAAGAAGTCATACAGATGCCTTAGCAAGCTCTAGGTTAACACAGCTACTCTACTTTTAGATCGTCATTCATGTCCAGAGAGCCTGGGTAGTCCCCGAGTCTTAACTCTGGTGCACTGCTGGTTCTTAAGCTGTTGCAGGCAAAATGAGCTGAAGTATGTCTAAGGATAGACATACTCTAAAAGTTGAAATGACAGCTGAATTAATGTCTAGCTTATCCCAAGGTCTGTAGTATAAGGGCTGCAAGGATGCAATAATCATACTTGCCAAACCAAAGTCTGTAGCCATAAATATGGGCATAAAGATGTGTTCCCTAGTCAGCAAAGAGAGAGAGATGTACCACTACAGTTAATCATGCTCACTGTCTCAGACTCCTGTTACAGGATGAGTTGTCCACTGGAATTGTCTGTATGAAGTAGGTTTAGATGGCCTGACTTAGACCAAATACGTACTTTTTTTTTTACTCTCAGACAGAAAAAAAAAAAAAAAAAAGCCTAGTGGAAATGAAATACCTCTTTTTGTCTTCATTTCTTTTTCTGCATAAAGTCTCTGAGCACGCAGTATGTTTTCTTTAACCAGGAAGATAGGTCTTTATAACTGAGAAAAAGAAAACTAGGCAAAAAAAGGTCTGTATGGTGATTCTAATCTCCTATGAACACATAACTAATTTATCAGCTGACCAGAAGACAGGTAGAAGAACTGGTTCTGTCATATAGTGTGCTGTGTTAGTCAGAAGAGAGTGCAATTTGAATTGAATTTAACAGGCAAATTGATTTGCAGTGTATGTTAAATGAGTTTCTTGTTTCAGATTAATCAGATCATGATGTTCAAAAACCACTATTATAATCTCTGCCAATCAGTATTATTTTTGTCAGCCTCAGAAAGGAGAAATGAACTTATTTTTTTGTGGTCCAACCAATTAACGTACTGTACACTGGATGCAAATCTAAAACAATAATCAGTATTCCCTATCTCCTAAGGCACAAACCATCACTGCTCAGTATTTGACAAGAATGCTCCTGCTGTCCCCAGATTAACTCTATTGCTTGCTCATGTCCAGAATTAAAGCAAAATAGTGTAAGAGTACCATAATCAAATGGCAACCAAGCAAGCCTGACTGGATTTTCCAAGGCAAAACTGAAGGGCAGTAGAAGTAAATCTCTGCTTCCGTTTCCTAAGGAATATTTATTCTGCTCCAGAAGCGCTAACTTCTTCGTTAAGCTGAGAACTAAATTAACTTAAAATACCAAATGTAAAAGTAACTGTTACTTGCCAGGATATTTGCCAAGCTTCAAACTGGAATTGTAGAATATGGATAATTGAAAACCCTGAAGAAGTCCTAATATGTTTTCATGAATAGATATGGGCTGTGGAACAGTATTACTCTCTCCCTTTAATTTTCACTAAATTTAGTTATCTACAAGTAAGTTTCCAGCATCGACCTTCACCCTTCCCTGAAAACAAACAGTCAGTACTGTCCATAGGAAAAGATAGATATCTCTGGAGAGCAAGCCATCACACCCCTCAGACACCTGGTTTAGGATGGGAGGAATTCTGGAAGGAGACAATAGGCACCTAGTGTGACATGAGATGCCCTGGGGTGTCTTATTATTTAGAAATAATAAGCTGAAATAAAGATGTTCCTCTTTAGGACTTCAATTATTTGGGGATTCAGCCACGAGGACTAGACCTTTGATTTGCTAATACCCCGCCAGCTGAGAAATCTTTTACAATCACTGCAAATATTTTAAAACTCCAAAGAAAGGGAAAAGAAACCTCAACACTGAAGAAAATTCTTATCGACCACAACAGGGAATTGATTGGTTCCCTTAAGTGGTATATCCCCTGGTAATTGCATATCTTAGATATTATAGAATCATAGAATCATAGAATTGTTTAGGTTGGAAAAGACCTTTAAAATCATCCAGTCCAACCATTAACCTAACATT